AGGCTTACAATGATCATTATTTAATTCCAACTAGTTTCTGACCACATGTTTTGATTGTCTTTGATGACCACCTGTTTTGATCGTCTTTGATGAATTATATATCAGGATATTCTAGATGAACAAAATTGAATTATGAAGTTACTAGTTTGTTTCAAAAAATTTTAAAAGAAAATATCAAATAAACGAAAAATGTAAGGATTAATTACAAAAAATTTGATTATTATATAGTGTTTTATTATATGTGTAATTTAAAGATAGAGAATTTTCATAAAACATTTCATGATGTTGTTTTTTCGATCCCTAACATTATTATTTATTTAAATTTTAGAGGGTTTTTAGGTGCACGAATATCTTCATCCAAATAGGGCTTTAGGGAGTATGGTACGAAGTAGGTTTTAATAAAATATAAGATTTATAAATCTCATACTCATATAAACTTTTAATAAAATATTTAAAATATATATGTTTTATATTTATATAAATAAAAACGTTGGACTCTCTAGTATTTTCTACACAAACATCAAACTCTCTCTCTCAGATTACTCTCAACTTGATTACTTGGGAGGAACAAACTATCACTAAGTTGATATTAAAAAAAATTACTTTTTATAATAGCATAAATAGTGAGTGAATAAAAAAAACATAAAAACATAAATTACCATTCGCGACGTAATTTAGAAATAAATAAAACACATGAAAACTTATTTTTGAAAAATAAAAAAAAAGTTATTGTATACCAATAAAAATAAAAAAGAAAAAAAAACATAAATTAATGTGAGTGAATAAAAAAATGACAAAATCGTAAATTTAAAAAAAATAACGACAAAAATACGCCTCATTCAAAAACATTTAAAAAAAACATGAAAACATAAATTACCATTCGCCACGTAATTTACAAATAAATAAATAAATAAGTTATTGTATACCAATAAAAATAAAGAAGGCAAAAAACGTAAATTAAAGAACAAGAACTAATTAATGTATAAAAAAAAAAAGACAAAAACATAAATTTTAAAAAAAAAATTAAGCAAAATACACCAAATCCAAACCCAAAATAAAATAAATAAAACAAAAAAAAAATGTACGCAAAATACGCCAAATCCAAACCCAAAATAAAAAAATAAAAAATAATAAAAAAATTTAAGCAAAATACGCCAAATCCAAACAGAAAATAAAAAACTTAAAAAAAAAATTAAGCAAAATACGCCAAATCCAAACCTAAAATAAAAAAATCATTTAAGCAAAATTTGCCAAATCCAAACCCAAAATAAAAAAATAAAAAATAATAAAAAAATTTAAGCAAAATACGCCAAATCCAAACTGAAAATTAAAAAATAAATAAATAAATAAATAACATTTAAGCAAAATTTGCCAAATCCAAACCCAAAATAAAAAAATAAAAAATAATAAAAAAATTTAAGCAAAATACGCCACAGTTGTTGACCAAGAAGGTAAAATTCCGTGCCCATGTTTGAACTGTATGAACTATTATTCCCAAAATCTTCAAAATGTGCAAATTCATTTGCTTCAATATGGGATTATGCAAACTTACACTATTTGGCATGAGCACGAGGAACCACGTGTATCAAATGAGGCTCACTATGAAATGCCAATTGATGAAGATGAGGTTTTAGGTGGTGTTGATGCCTTAGTGGAAGATCGAATAAGAGGAGAACCCAACGATGCACCCCAGAATGAGGAAGTACAAACGTTTGATAAACTATTGAATGATGCCAAACGTGAGGTGTACTTAGGTTGCACAAACTACACTCTGTTGAAGTTTGTCATCGAGCTGCTTAATATGAAGGTAACAAACCACTGGAGTAATAAGTCGGTTGACACACTGTTGGAGGTTTTAACAAAACTTTTACCAAAAGATAATTTGGTTCCAAAGTCATTTTATGAAGCTAAGAAAATACTTCGTGATTTGGGCTTGTCATATAAGTTAATTGATGCTTGTATAAATGATTGTGTACTCTTTTGGAAGGAAAATGCAAGGTTTGATAAATGTCCAAAATGTAAGGCATCCAGATACAAGATCAATCGTGGCAAGGGTAAGAAGATTCCCCATAAGGTGTTGCGGTACTTCTCATTGACACCAAGGTTGAAAAGATTGTACATGTCAAGGAAGACTGCTGAGGACATGAGATGGCACAAGGACAAACGTATAGATGACGGAGTATTGAGGCATCCTGCCGATAGTGATGAGTGGAAGGAATTTGATGCGCAACATCCTCAGTTTGCCCTAGAGCCTCAAAATGTGAGGCTAGGGTTGGCTGTTGATGGGTTCAATCCTTTCGGGAACATGAGCAACTCATATAGTTTGTGGCCTATAGTACTCATTCCTTATAACTTGCCACCTTGGTTGGTTATGAAAGATTCCTTTCTTATGATGTCATTACTTATTCCTGGAGAATCACAACCAGGGATCAATATTGATGTCTATATGAGACCTCTGGTGGATGAGTTGAATAAGTTGTGGGAAAATGGTGCATTATCTTATGATGCCGTAACTGGTGAGTCTTTCCAGATGCGTGTAGCTTTGATGTGGACTATACATGATTGGCCTGCATTTGGTGACATATCTGGGTGGAGAACAAAGGGTCATTATTCTTGTTACACTTGCAATGATGAACCATATTTTCAATCCTTGAAAGGTAAGACTGCATACACTAACCATCGATGCTACTTGCCTCAAAACCACCCCGAAAGGCGAAAGAGTAAGGCTTACAATGGTAAGCATGAGAAGCGAAAGAGATCTTTAGAGTTACCAGTGGAAAAGATATTAGAGCAATTGGATAGAGTGACATGTGTCACATATGGGAAGCATCCAAGAAACAAGAAAAGACTCCGTCAGGCACCAAATTGGACAAAGGTAAGCATCTTGTATGAGTTACCATACTGGAAGAAACGGAAGCTTCGACACAACATTGATGTCATGCATGTCGAGAAGAATTTTAGTGAAAATACCTTTGGAACTATGTTAGGCATTAATGGAAAGAACAAAGACACCGACAAAGCACGAATGGACTTGGAAGATATGGGCATAAGGAAAGAGTTGTGGTTAACACGTCGTCCTGATGGAACTTATGTCAAACCTAGGGCAATCTTTTCATTGACCCCTGAAGAGAGGGAGGGTTTCTTTGAATTCCTGAAATCAGTTAAGTATCCAGATGGTTATGCTGCAAACATATCAAGATCAGTGAATGCGAGAAATGGTAAATTAACAGGCTTGGAAAGTCATGACTGCCATGTACTCATACAACGGATTCTTCCAATTGGGATGCGTAGTTACGTAGACAAAGAGATTAGTAAAACACTATTTGAGTTAGGTAGCTTTTTCCAGGATTTGTGCTCAAGGACACTGCGCCGTAATGAACTTGAGAAATTAGAGAAACGTATAGTACACATATTATGCAAGCTTGAAAAGATATTTCCTCCAGCCTTCTTTGATGTGATGGTTCACTTGGCCGTTCACTTGCCGCGTGAGGCAATTCTTGGAGGACCGGTGCAATATCGATGGATGTACCGGATTGAAAGGTAATTGTTAAATTGAAAGATTAGTAATTATATGTTGCATGTGTAACCTTGCTCTTAACTAATTTTATTTTCAAGGTTTCTCGGAGCTTTAAAAAAGTTTGTTACAAACCGAGCTCGACCAGAAGGTTCAATCGCAGAGGCTTACATTGTCAAAGAGTGCATTACTTTTTGTTCAATGTATGTTGATGGGATCAAAACAGTGCATAATCGACCCGAACGAAATCAAGATCGTGGCGAACGTCGCAAAGGGTTGAGTGTATTCACAGAAACTGCCCGTCTTATTGGCCTAATCACAAAGGATGCTGATATGTCACAAGAATATCGTGATATGGCTCATTGGTTCTTGTTGAACAATGGCCCCGAGATAGAGAAGTATCTAGAGTATGTTTTTCATTTAAATATGTGTATTCTTAGCTTTGTTAATATAGTTAGCAGTGCATAATAATCACATTCTTTTGAGTAGGATACACAAAAATCTATTACGGACTCCATCTGGCCAAGACATAACCCGTATACAACAAGAGTTTCCCAAGTGGTTCAAAGAGCGGGTAAGGCATTTTCAATTTTAAGACATGATTAAAAATTTGTATAAGATTTGATCATTTATTAATTTATTTTTACTATCTTGGTGTACGTTATATGTGATTGTAGATAAATATATTGAGAGAAGAAAAGTCACCAGAGGCAACCAATGATTTATGGTCGTTAGCAAATGGCCCAAATTTGCTAGTAAAAGAGTACTCATGTTGCATAATCAATGGCGTACGGTTTCATACAAGAGAAGTAGACAATCGCCGTAAGAGTCAGAATAGTGGTGTGCTTACGGAAGGGGATCATGAGGGAGTGAAGCATGAATTTTATGGTCACTTGTGCAATGTTTGGAAATTAGAGTACATGTGCCATAACAAAGTTGTATTGTTCCAGTGTGAATGGTACAACACAGGAAACACAGGTCGAAGTAGAACATTGCGAACCGATGATTATTGCATAAGTATTGATGTCACAAGTCGGTGGTATCAACACGATCCTTTCATCTTGCCTATCCAGGCTAAGCAAGTCTTTTACCTAAATGATACCAAATGGGGACAACCTTGGCAAGTTGTTCAACGAGTGCAACATAGAGGTGTCTTTGATGTACCAGAGGTAGGTGATGGAGAATCATTAGATGAACCAGAAGAAAACAATGTGTTCCAACAAGAAAATATTACCGATGTTGTTCCAATTGACATCGGCCCTAATGTTCAATGTTATAGAGATGGTGTTGAAGCAGAACTTGTTACAAGGGTTAGGTCATCTGATGAAACAATGATGGAGAATAGAGCTGACAAACAAAATGAAGAGTGTGACGAACCTGATGTGGATTACAATATGGATCTTGATGTAGACTAGGATTTGTAGTTATTTTGCACTTTCTATGTGAACATTGTTCTTAATTAATGTAGTTGAATTTCAATTGTGGGGTTCATCCCCTGTTATGTAGGTTTATCATTGATTGGTCATGTTATGTGTCTGATGGCTTTATGACATGTCCACTTGTTGAGATTGTTGAGATTGTTGTTGCTTTATGCTTTATGTATAGAAATATATAATTATCTTTTCTTTACATCTAATGTTCAATTATGCATATCTACCAAAAAAATGTTCAATTATACTTTATAGTTGGGCAAAATGGACGCTACAAAAAAACAGTTGACCAAACCAAGTAGCGCAACTAAGAAGGTAACGAACTATGAGAAATAAAGAATGAAGAATATTAATAAAAACCGTGAGAGAATGAATGCTCTAGGAGTGAAGAATATAACAACTTGTTTGAAGGCTACGGTTCAACATAAGAAATTGAGGAAGGAAAAACAAATACCAATTGAGGAAAATGATGATGATTATCGACCGTCAGAGGCAGAAGATAGCAGTGACACTGAATCCTATGATTCGTTTGAGCATGAGGTACTATACATTTATGCATTGTGAAATATATTCTTTCTTGTTACTTTCAATTCATACACACATAAACATATATATCTTTGTATATGTATTCATATTTTATTATGTTATTCAGCTATTAGAGATACCATCGAGAGCCCATTCACAATCTCATCTTGAGGCATTGACCCACGCATCAGAAGAGGGGGATACCTCTTCACGTCCTGAGGTGACTAGCAATCCGCCACCACCTCTCAATGTGGAGCCTCAACTTAAGGTGACTGATGGTAATACTATTGGTAAGACACACTCTTTATTTACATTGATTTGAGATCTTAATTAAATTTGTTCACATACTATTTCAATATTATGGCTTCACAATATCAGCTGCTAAGCGTGCTCGTGGCCCGACTCGAGGCAAAGAGGTTCAAGGCCTTGTTGATAAAGATGGAAAGCTTAGCGTGCCTATCCCTCCAGAATTTCGTGCACCGGTAGGGGACTATGCCTCAAAACTAGCCTCAAAGATTGGTGTAGAAGTGCGAACTCGTTTACCAAATCCAAGTGTTCGTAGGTGGAAGTATGTTGATGCCTCCGTTAAGGAGGCGATGTTTCAACGCTTGAATGTAAGTTCGTTGTCTACTTATAGGAGATTTTACTCATTTTTATAATAGGTTAGAAATCTTAATTATTTATTGTAATTATTTTATTTTTTATAAGAATTATCTATGACTTATCTATTTTTTGCAGGATCAATTTGATTTACAAGGAGACCCTGTTGATATAGAGAAGACAATGAACACAAAATTTGGTCGGAGATTGAGTAACCATACCTATAGGCTGCACAAACAATTCATGGAGCTGAAGGAGGCTAAAGGGGAGGAGTATGCAAGAAACCACCCACCAAAGAATGTCGATCCTACCAAGTGGATAGATCTTATTGATAAAAAGTGGAACACTAAAGAATTTCTGGTAACATTTTCATCTTTTTTATTATATTAGCGAAGAAAGAATTTGATTAGAATAGGGAGAGATTCTAAAACAACTAGAAAGAACACAATCAATTTGCTGTGAAATTCCATATGTATTCTTTTCCCTTTATCTTCTAGGCATGTAAGTGGAACATAATAAAAACCAAATAAGTGAAAAAATGAGAAAGGGAAACTATTAAACATGGATTGGAAGGCTCGCATAATAGGAGATTAATTTATGGTTCCTTAAAGTGCATCTTTCACATCATAGAATAAAGAACTAAGATTTCAGTTTCTATGATTGTATTAATTTTCTGTTTGTTCTTGGGTTTGGTCTGAAGTTTCATGATAATGGTAAGCAACTAGCTAAGTAACTAATATAGGGTATTGAGACAGAACTTTAGATTTGATAGAGTTGCGGAAGAAAGAAAAGGTTATGAGTTTGGTATCAGTAATTGTTCCATATATTGTGAAATGTAAATGGATTTTTTCACAATCTATCTTGCCCATGCTTATATACCCCCTATTTGTGAACGGTGTAAATTACTCGTTTTTCTTTTTTCACCCAGAAAAACCATCTTATGATGAAATCTCAACAAGTCCTCTAATCTATTTTTCACAGAATTGAATGAAACTAGTGAATAATTTGAAATATCTTTTAAGTTGAAATGATATATAGGAAAATGATAGAGAGGAACAATGCAATTTCTTTATTATCAACCATTAAATTTGTTTTACTAGTGATACATTTCATTGTTATATTGGTTCATTATTCCTTACAGGAACAATCAAAAGCCAACATATTTGTCTTACTAATGATACATTTCATTGTTATATTGATTCATTATTCCTTACAGGAACAATCAAAAGCCAACATATTTGTCTTACTAATGATACATTTCATTGTTATATTGATTCATTATTCCTTACAGGAACAATCAAAAGCCAACATATTTGTCTTACTAATGATACATTTCATTGTTATATTGATTCATTATTCCTTACAGGAACAATCAAAAGCCAACATATTTGTCTTACTAATGATACATTTCATTGTTATATTGGTCATTCTTCCTTATAGGAACAATCAAAGGCCAACATCGCGAACAGAGAAAGGATGTATACAAAACATAGGTGTGGTTCTAGGTCAATCCCTGTTAGAGTAGAAAAACTGGTACGTATCCTTGCACTTTCAGAATTATATTAGATTCTTAGCTTTATTTATTGAATATTTGGTCTATCGAATTAGGCACGAGAAAAGAAGATGCTACCTGATCTAGCAGAGTTGTACAAGGAAACTCACTATAATGAGAAAACACAT